CTTCCACTATTGGCACACTCGTGATTTCGAAGAAATTAATAAATACATGCTCATTTATCATTTATTTAGACCACAGTTAGTAAAATTTTAAACGTATTCGGTATTCCAAATCCCAATCTATCTGACCGTATTTTAGTAATAGCTTCAAACTATTCAGAACATTGTTCTTTCAGTCGCACATAGTACAAGTATTACTGTACATTCAAAGCCAATGGTAGTTTATTCGGCTTTATATTTGTATGTGTATTGATATCTATTTAATATTTGAAGAATTCTATACTTTTCCGAGTAATATATTGTGCGGCCCGCTAATGCTTTGTATTATTATTGTTCATGTTGCACAATGTACACGCCTTGCGTCAATTTGAAAGTTGACAGTTTATTTATCGCAGTCGACGCTGATTGGTTAGCGTTTAGCAGATGCGAAAAGGGGATGAATGAATAAAACGCATGGTTCCGTGCAGGCTCACCTTTCTCCCAGTGAGCCTGTTCGCAGGCTACTGATCGCCCAGCAAAAAACCGCCCAAACCATGAAAAAAATATTCAAAAAAACTTTTATTTCCGACCTACCTACCCTAATTTTTTCACGATATGAAACCGGAACCACAGATATTTCAGGCCCAATGAGGAAAACTACACTGTATGTAGCTGAGGTCAGACTGTTAGCACCCTCGGTAAATCCACTGTAAATGTGCGACGGCATTCGAGTCACAACGTCGACGCTTTGAAAACTGTTATATTATGTGTTACAAATACCATAATTAAAGATTCGTTTGTACAAAATTGCCCATACACTTTTTGCTTTTGGACCAGTAAACTATACGTAGGTATAAAAACGCATGACTCGGAAGTAGTCTTAGGTACGTCTTGGCTCTTAAGTTTGTACCAGATCAGGTACGCGGCAAAAGTTGTTGGAGTACCAGTCAGGTACGGCTAAAAATATTGAATTATCGCACCCTGCATTTTGATTTACTGTACGCTCGACAAATCTACAGTTCGGTCGGACCCCAATACGCTCGGGTCGGACAAACAATAAACCACAGTTTCACTTAGGTCGGACAAAATGTCCGGTGGTTTCCTCTTTACGTCGGACAATTTCACGAATGTGTCGGACAATGTCCGCGACCAACCGATATTTTAAGGCCTGAGTCGAAGTTCTCCTTGTATTTTTCAGGTAGTTGTATTCCTATCAATCCGAAGCTTTCGTACATATTTCCCCGCAGAATTTTTAGTTGTTTTCAATCGGTTTCAGTGTAAAAAGTATCAAATTTTCGATGAGAAATTCTAAATAATTTGTTTATATTTTGCAACAATTGCCGAGCATGTGTAGAACTCACGTTGGAAATCCAACGTACTATCTGCTGCTGGCCAATCGAACGGGCATGCTCGGGGAACGAGATTGTACTTATATGAAACACTATGCAGGTCATATACACACACCTGGTTTATGTTTGAACTTGAATTTATTTAGCCACGCAGGGGCAAAACTACCATGAGTGTGTGTGTGGAGAAGGTGTCACACACCTCCAGTCTCTATGTTGTCAGGTATGTCCATACAATTTCATTGGGAAAATTTTAAAAATATTTGAGTGTCTCGGATTGAAACAAAATAGTTGTAGGAAAATGCTATGTCCACACGCCAACAATTTTGGGAAAAGAAATTGTAATCAGGATTGAAATGACGACTTCAGTCACACCTTTTTGGTCGGGCAGAACAAGCTCTCCCCCCCCCCCCCCCCC